AGGCCCAGGTGGAGGCCCAGGGTGGAGGCCCAGGGTGGAGGCCGGGGCTGGGTGGAGGCCGGGGGTGGGTGGAGGCCCAGCCTCACCTGCTCAGCCTCCACGTGCACAGCAGCAGCAGCAGGCTGGCGGCCAGGCCGCAGGGCAGCGCCAGGCCAGGGCCGGGACGGAGGCCGGGCTCGGCTCACAGTGCTCTGCGGAGACAGCGGCAGACGCCCGGCCCGTCCGTCTCTCCGTCCGTCCATCTGTCCGCTCGTCTGTCTGTCTGTCGATGTGTCTCTCTTCTCCGTCCGTCCATCTGTCAGTCTCCACGTCTGTCTGTCTCTCTGTGTGACTCTGTCCACCTGTCCCACCTGTCCGTCTGTCCATCCAACTGTCTGTCCGTTTGTGTCTATCTCTGTCTGTCTGTGCATCTGTCTGTCCATCGTCCCATCTGTCTGTCTGTCCGTCTGTCCATCCATCCATGTGTATCCATCTGTCTGTCTGTCCATCCTTCCGTCTGTCCATCTGTCTGTTCGTCCGTCTGTGTTTCCATCTGTCTGTCTGTCCGTCCATCTGTCTGTCCATCCATGTGTGTCCGTCTGTCTGTCTGTCTGTCTGTACATCCAAGTGTCCACCTGTCTGTCTGTCTGTCCGTCTGTCGCTCTGTCTGTCCTCCGTCTGTCGGTCTCTGTCCGTCCGTCTCTCTCTGTCTGTCTGTCTGTGTCCATGGGTCCATCCATCTGTCCATCTGTCCCTGTCTGTCTGTCCATTTGTCTGTCTGTCTCTATGTCTATCCGTCTGTCTGTCCGTCCATCTATCGGTCTGTCTGTCTGTCTCTCTCTCTCTCTGTCCATCTGTCCATCTGTCCATCTGTCCGTCTGTCTGTCCATCCGTCTGTCTCTATGTCTGTCTGTCTCTCTGTCCATCCGTCAGTTTGTCCATTTGTCCATCTGTCTGTCTGTCTGTGTCTGTGTGTCCATCCGTCCGTCCATCTGTCTGTCTGTCCATCTGTCTGTTCATCCATCCATCCATCTGTCCATCTGTCTGTCTGTCTCTGTCCGTTTGTTTGTCCTTCTGTCCGTCTGTCCATCCGTCTCTGTCTCTCTGTCCATCTCTCTGTCTGTCTCTCCCTGTCTCTGTCCACCCGTCCATCTGTCTGTCCATCTGTCCATCTATCTGTCCGTCTGTCCGCCTGCCTGTCTGTCTGTCCGTCTGTCTCTCTCCCTGTCTGTCTGTCTGTCTCTCTGTCCATCCGTCAGTTTGTCCATCTGTCTGTCTGTCTGTCTGTGTCTGTCTGTCCGTCCATCCGTCTGTCCATCTGTCCGTCTGTTTGTCCGTCTCTCTGTCTGTCCCTCTGTCTCTCTGTCCGTCTGTTTCTCTGTCTGTCCGTCTGTCCCTCTGTCTCTCTGTCTGTCCATCTGTCTGTCTCTCTGTCTCTCTGTCCATCCGTCAGTTTGTCCATCTGTCTGTCTGTCTGTCTGTCTGTCTGTGTCTGTCTGTCCGTCCGTCTGTCTGTCCATCTGTCCATCTGTTTGTCCGTCTCTCTGTCTGTCCCTCTGTCTCTCTGTGTGTCCATCTGTCCGTCTGTTTGTCCGTCTCTCTGTCTGTCCCTCTGTCTCTCTGTCCGTCCGTTTCTCTGTCTGTCCGTCTGTCCCTCTGTCTCTCTGTCTGTCCATCTGTCTGTCTCTCTGTCCATCCGTCAGTTTGTCCATCTGTCTGTCTGTGTCTGTCTGTCCGTCCGTCAGTCTGTCCATCTGTCCGTCTGTTTGTCCGTCTCTCTGTCTGTCCGTCCGTTTCTCTGTCTGTCCGTCTGTCCCTCTGTCCCTCTGTCTCTCTGTCTGTCTCTCCCTGTCTCTGTCCATCTGTCTGTCCATCTGTCTGTCTGTCCATCTGTCTGTCCGTCTGTCCCTCTGTCTCTCTCCCCGTCTGTCCGTCTGTCCGTCTGTCTGTCTCTCTCCCCGTCTGTCCGTCTGTCCATCTGTCTGTCTCTCTCCCTGTCTCTCTGTCCGTCCATCCGTCTGTCCATCTCTCTGTCTGTTTGTCCGTCTCTCTGTCTGTCCATCCGTTTCTCTGTCTGTCCGTCTGTCCCTCTGTCTCTCTGTCTCTCTGTCTGTCTCTCCCTGTCTCTCTCCCCGTCTGTCTGTCTGTCCATCTGTCTGTCCGTCTGTCCCTCTGTCTCTCTCTCCCTGTCTGTCCGTCTGTCCGTCTGTCTGTCTCTCTCCCTGTCTCTCTGTCCGTCTGTCCGTCCGTCCGTCCGCCCCCCCCCCCCGCGCTCACCGGCCGGCCGCCCACCCGTCCAGTGCGTCTCTCGAGTCCAGTCCCCCGGCTGGGCCTCGGGGCCGTAGACGGCCGGGCGCGGGGCGGCGCGGGCACGGAAACTGAGGCAGAGCCCGGGATCCAGGCCGGCGACCGTCACCACGCACGTGGTCTCCTCGTGGGTCTGCGGGGGGGGGGGGGGGGGGGACATGCGTGACCCTGACGGACGGACGGACGGACGGACGGAACACAGAGACAGACAGCC